TAGAGTGGTCACTGCATTTCTCACAACAGCTACAGGTATGAAATCTTTATGTTTTCAAGGGTTTTAAAAGTCAAGATTCTTTGGACTATAGCACTTCACAGATAACTGAGTCTCTGTGGCATCTGATTACTGGCTGCCTTGGAAAATACAGTTTTTTCCCCTTCTAGGAATAACGTATATTCTGGAGAAGAGATTTCCTAATTAGAGTGTGAAGATTTTTGCTTTGTTCATTTTTCATTGGGGTGCAGAGACAAAGGAGTTGAGGAGGTCACTGTTCCGTTATCTTAGTAACCTGATAGCCTGTTGCCAGTGGGTCTAAGGTTTAGATTTCGTATAATGTTAATAGTTAGTATTTATTCTGTACTTACTGTGAGCCGTGGGCTCATAGCCGTTGTGCTAAATGTTGTATATGCATTCTCACTCAGTCCTCACAGCCCCTGAGGTAGATGATGGAATTCTTTTTCATCTTAATTATATTCCCATTATCATTATTCCAACTTAGAGGATGTTAATAGTTCTCCCAAGATCACAATAACTAGCAGACCTGGTTATTACAATTTAGAATCCTTAGTCTTAACTGTGTTCCAGTTTTCCCATTCTAGGGTTTTCTTATTCCTTTAATTTCAAAATAGCAGCCAGCGTTTTCTCTTAAGTTTTTTTTGTTTTGTTTAATATGTTAGAATATTGCTATCACCTGGAGTCAGAATTTTGGGCTTCTTTGATAGAAAGGGGATTTTCTTCTATTTAATTAATGGTTGTAATCGCTGATGATTTTTAACGGGTTGAATTTTCAGGACTGGAAAAATACCTGTCACAGATGAAGAGCAGACCAATGTGCCATATATCTACGCCATTGGTGATATATTGGAGGGGAAGCTGGAGCTCACCCCAGTAGCAATCCAGGCAGGAAGATTGCTGGCTCAGAGGCTGTATGCCGGCTCCACTGTCAAGGTGAGTGTTGTGGCTGTCACCCACTGCCACCAAGCTTCTGTTTTTAAGAAGACTCCCAGATCTCTATTCCCCGGGGTAGCTGTAAGGTTTTCCAGGCCTTGTGTGGTTTAGCTCTTCCGGTGATAGCATCGTAGGTGTGCTTAACGTTAACTGTATTCCAAACTGTATTTGGAATACAGTTAAGGCTACTGTACCTTTGTGACTTTCTTAGGAATTATCAGTCTTGGGATCATCACACTAAGAATAAAATGAGCTTGATGAATCAAGTTTTAGCACTATTATGCTATATACTCATAATAACTGCACTTTATATCAATTTCATTATTACAAGTTTAATTTTCTAAATCTTTTTATGGCACTGTCTGGCCTATGAAAGTATTGGGGTTCTAGGTAGTAATGTCAGTGTGCAGAGATGCTTAAGCCAGCATTCAGGTTTTACTACCATGGCCTTTCTAAAACTAGACTTTCTGTTCTTAGAATGTTTTTGAATATGTTATATTAATATGTCTTAAAATGATTTTTTTAAGTACGTGTAGGAAATTGAAACCCTCAGGTATGCCTCATGGACTAGATGGCAAGAAAAAATATGCTTTTTTTTTTTTCAAGATTATTTTTGTAGAGCAGTTTTAGGATCACTACAGAATTGAGAGGGAAGTACAGAGACTTCCCATATAGCAGATGCCCCTACATGTGCATAGCCTTCCCCATTATCAACATTCCAATTATGTCTTTAAAAGGACTCTAGAAACATTGATTGCAAAGGACTTAGTCATTACCCATTGTCTGGGTATAGATCATCATTGGTTGATCTAGGTTAGTTATAGCAATGGGAACTTCAAAGAATGCTATGGCTAAAATTTGTGACAGCCGTTTTAAATGTACTTGGGGTTAGTTTAGATAGTAATGTAATAAAATCTTCTGTTTTGAAATTAGTAGGATTGAGGGTAAAAAATAGGATTTAGAATCCTAGATGGTCTGATCATCCAGGGAATAGCCGTCGATTCATCTCACTATTTGAGTTAAGTCTTGTATTCATTGTTGAAATTGAGTATCTGATAAACCAGGAATGGGTATATAGAAATATACCTTGAAAGGCATTAAATTTGTTTGTGACTTTATATCTTTGTGTTCTTCTAAAATGGAAAGAGATATTTTTATATATCAAAAATAACCAAAGGGCAAACATGCAAAAATTTACTCCTAATAAATTTGTAGTCATTGTAGCACAAAATTCCTTAAAAAAGGTTTAATGTATCTTCCCACTTATTTTGCATATGATCTCTCATGTGTGGGTATAGTGCTATATTCTGGCATCTGCCAGGTAAAATAAATTCTTTCTTAAAGTGCCTTAAGCTGTAATTAGCATCAAAATTTAATGTAAGTTGAAATTAAAGGATGTTTTTGTTGTTTTCCTTATTTTTAGTTTAACTACTATGACAGGTGTTTTACAGAACAGGGAAGTAAACCGGTGCTGAGTTTGAAATCTCACTGGTCTGCCCTTCAGTATAGCAAATAAAGCTGAAATGTCAGTAGATATCTAGGTTAAATGTATTTGTGGAAATTACACAAGCTTTTTCAAAAACAACCACATAATCCCTTTAATTTTGCCCAACATGCACTAATAAGAACATTCTCACATACCTCAGAAGGTGGGAGGATCCATGCCTACCTTCCTTGTTTACTTCGAGAGGAGCAACTCTCTGCTGAAAAACCCAGCTTAACATAAGCACCTGGCTAAATTAAACCTGTTAGGGGATTATAAGAGAACCCAAATTGAGTCATGGGAGGTTGTCCCATCCTTCAAAATTGATACGTATTCGTCACTGAGTCACAAGAGTGTTTGTAGGAAAGGAGACCAAGAGCAGCTATGTTTGGGTGCTTCTGGCATGCCTGGTACATTGTTTCATGTGCATTGTCTCGTTCAGCCTTATGACTGCTGTGGAGAATGATGACATACTACAGGAAACTTAGGTAACTGTTACAGGTTATAGTGCTAGAAGGCAGCCCAGGCCTGAATTAAGTCCAGGTCTTATTGTAGATATTGCTCTCATAACCGTGACAATTTATTGCCCAAGAAAGAAGGAAGATTTGGGAAGTTTAGATTATGAAAGAATAGGTGATGAGGATAGAAAAGATGTCTCAAAACTTGAATGAATGCAGCAGCTTGCACAGCCTCTGTAACTTAATATTTTCCTAAATAAAGTGAAGTGGAAAATATATTGGAAAAATTGAATTAAACCTTTTTAACACTTAATAATGATGAATGCCATTTTCAAAGCTACTAAAAATATTTGCTGCTAAATAAACTATCCCATTATTTGGGGAGCATAAATGAAAAAATGAAAAAAAAAGCTTTTACCATCTCAAAAACTAATAGAGAACCGAACTGATAGAGAACATAAATCTGAGTCAGCCTGTAGATGATGGACATTCTACTAAGCTCTTTAAAAATCAAAAATCAAAATGATAAAGATACACATATCTGTAAAGCACAGTATGATGGACTTATCAGAATGACTGGTTATCGTCTCTTGGATCTCTTTAGAATTAGTCTCAAACACTTGAAATACTTTCATTTTTACAAATAGTAAAACACTAGCATCTTTACTATTATATAAAGTTGTACTTTATAAGTTAACTCGATTTTATAGTAAATATAAAAAATATGTGGAAACGAGAAACCACAGAACACCACCTATCTTTAACTTAAGAAGGGTTGTAGTCTAAAAGTTCGTGAAGTAAACTGTTGAATATTTCACAGTAGTTTCTCTAAAGAAAATCTCAGGTTGGCCACAGTAGTTTATGTAAGATGATTAGAAATAATTTTGGGATCCAGGAGAAACATGTCTCTTATTTGGATCCAGATTTTTTTTTTTTTTTTTTTTT